TAAGTCAACAAGACATCTTGATTGTGTAACTTGATGGTAAGGGAAGTTTCATACTTAACGGTTAACAGCTGTTATATAATCTAGTTATATCTTAACAGGAAAGACACTTTGGCAGTTAGTGTGAAACTTAACGAGTTCAACACATGAGTGTATGGGGAATCTGGTATTTTTGTTCCCATTGTGATGTTTTGGTTTCACTCATCAATGAACTGTATGCTGTACTATAAAAAGTAAACAACTGAACTTGTTAATAACTTTTACAGTTCTGGGGAAAATGTATTTATGAAAAATAGGGAAATTAATTTTACTCCATACTTTTAAAAAATTTCCCTACAATTTTTTTTTAACATTAATGACTCAATTAAAGTTAAGTGTTACATTGATAAAATGTACAACTTTTACCATACAAAAAACCTTTGATGTTCACTTAGTAAGTTCTAGAGGTTACGCGAATTAAAAATAACAACCTTGAGATGAAAATCACCTATTGTTAAGACTAGTTATAGTCTAGGTTAGGCTGACCCCGTAAAATCCTATAAGAATTTTTAATGAATATACTTTTTTTTTAAATTATTTTTTGTGTACTAAAACCTTGTTAAATACACTTAGAAAATTTGTACTTATAGTAAGGATTTCTGTGTATAGCTTTATAGTTACAGGGGTTCGGTGTAAAACATCAGCACTCTTCATAGGCTTAAGAAGATTGTTAGACAATGTAGAGCTTTATAGTTAAAGGGGTTCGGTGTAAAACACCAGCACTGTCTTCATAGGCTTAACAAGATTGTTAGACTATGTAGAGCCTAAGCACACTATTTTTACGAAGTGAGCCTTCAACGTTTTCCATCGAAACAAGGAAGCACAATCCTCCGTCAAGTATTTAAGATGGTGTTAGAAACTGCTTAGAAATAGGCTTAGAAACTGCACCTGGATAAACAGTTATGGTTTTCTGTTAGAATCTACATTATTCTTGAAACAAAAGAAAAAGGAGTAATTTTAATTTATTTTGTATTTGTTTTATGAGGCTACAAGGTCGATTGAGTCCATATAGAGTTAAGGTAAAGGAAATAACAGGTAGAATGTAGAGTTTTACTGTACAAAACATTTGATATTTATTTAGGAGGTTTTAGAGGTTGCGTGAAAGAAATTTGAAAGTTTGTAGAGGAAGAAAAGTATTTCTAATTCCAACATGTAAATCATATAGCAGTCAACTTACTGGCTCCGTACATTCATGGTCAAATCGTTGGTAAAAGTACTTAATTAAGAAATCCACGTTACTATTTGGGTTACAAGGTCGGTCGGTCAATCGGCTTCATATGGAAAGAGTTACTTGGTTACAAGGTCAGTCGGTCAACCTGCCCCATATGGAAAGAGCTGTGTGGTAATAAGTGGAAATTTATTTTGTATTGTACTTTTATTATAACCTTCAACTTATCTTTAGTGCATTTCTGATAAACTTATTTTTTTCCAGAACGAAGTAGTGAAGAAAGCTTCGGACCAGCTGCGGGCTCAAATGTGTAAAATAGCTGAATTCTCCATAAGTCAGAGGGGTCTTGTAGCTGTCCAGAATCTTAAGAAAGAACAAGCTATTATAGAGTATAGAGGCCGATTTATGACTCTGTCGCAATTTAAAGAACAATATCCTTTCTTCCGAATTAGGTGAGTGCATTTATCAGTGCTGTTACAAGAGAAGTGGAACTATTAGTGTTGATGTCATAATTAAAACCAGTGATGATGGTCTGTATAATATGTAAAGTTTACCTGTAGCTTGTGTTGTTCAGTAGGACTAATACACCCAGATCTTACAATCACCTAAAGTTTACCTGTAGCTTGTGTTGTTTAGTTGGTCTTAATACACCCAGATCTTACAATCACCTAAAGTTTACCAGTAGCTTGTGTTCTTCAGTAGGACTAACACACCCGTAGCTTTCATTAATTACTAATAATAAAGTAATTTATTTTTTATACTTTACAAAGAATCATCATCCATTAATAATAAAAAGTAATAATTCCGATTTAATTATATACTGTGATTCAGCTAATTTTTTTCAGTTTTCGGAGGACTTCCTGTTTGTCATTTTTCACAAACCTGTTTTATTACACAGTTACGTTTGAAGCAGTGAATAAAGCTTAGTTATCGAAGTTTTCTTTTTGCTAGATATTTTCCTTTCGTGTTATTTCACAAACCTCAAGCAGATGAAGAGGAGATTTGTGTTGATGCAAGAGAATATGGAAATGCTGCAAGGTTCATACGTAGGTCTTGTACACCTAATGCCAAAGTGAGTGTTTTTAAATAATTCATTGCTTAGATAGTTTGCTTTTTTCATAATATTGGTAAGTTTGATATAAATTATTTACGTATGAAGACCAAAAACACTAAAGAGTTTGAAGTACAAGATGTGGTTGTAGATTTATATAATTCTGGTAATTTTATTCTATTTGTGTAGTTTTACTATTGTTTCTTTCATCTTCCGAACACTTTTCGATCAATCACCATTCCTTCATTTCTTGACGGATAGACTTTAAATTTGGTAGGGTTATACCTTGGTCCAATACACTTAGATATGTATTTCATTTTTTTTTTATGTAGGTTACTTTAAGTATTTTATGGGGTAATAGGTTAAACAACCCAAAAATGGGCTTCTGTATGGTCATATTTACAGCAGTCAAGATGAAAATTTTGGGCTTCTGTATGGTCATATTTACAGCAGTCAAGATCAAAATTTTGGGCTTCTGTATGGTCATATTTACAGCAGTCAAGATCAAAATTTTGGGCTTCTGTATGGTCATATTTACAGCAGTCAAGATGAAAGTTGGCACAAATATTTATATTCATGCCGTTAGATTTGCCCATTTTCAGTCTTTTTGGGGGGGGGGGAGTGGCGATGTCAGAACTCACAAAAAAGCATAATTTTGGGGTCAAATATTCAGCCATATCTTAACCAACTTACATGGCATTTAGTACAAAGATACTTTTCTAGAAATCCCACATATCGACAAACAAAAATGGTAGACTTGCCAATTTTTATTAATTGTAGGGGGTCAAGATGCCACAAAAAGCATAATTTTTGGGGTTTTCATGTTCTTCACTTGATTTTAGTTTATTACATCATCTCCATAGTTACTATTTGCAAATAGTCAATAATATTGTAGGTCCATTTTTAGTGTTGTTCTTTCTGCGTGCCGTTATAACACATTTTCATCTCCTCATTTAATTTCTGTTGTGCGTATATTGTTGTATGTTTATTACAAAATAAATAGCACCATTAAATTTCTTGTAAAAATACTGGTTATTATGAAGTTATTTTAAAATTTGTAAGTTCAACCATTCGGTTTCCTATAGCAAACAAAATAAACAAACTTCCTCTTTTATATATATAGATTACTCAGGCAAAGCATATTTTTTATAGCCTTCAATCTTATTTGTTTATGGAGCCACAAACTAGAAAATCAGACTCGTTTGCCATGCCCGCCTGTCACATCCTGTCTTTCACAAGTTGCCAATAGTTCTCTGATGTTTTATTTGGTATTATTTATAACCAATAGAAAGCTAAAGTTTTCTGTACTGTGCATTGTTTATATTGCCTTCAGTTTGAAACTTTTTTGGTGGTATTTACTTCGATAAGCTTAGTTAGATAGTTAGAAAGCCAGGTAAATTATGATAGCTATAAGACTGTTTGCTTTGTTCGTATTATTATTCTGGGTTATGTAATCTGATACTTGTGTGGTGGGATTATTAATTAGACACAGTTCACAGGGAAATAAAACAATAAAATTAAGTATAAACAGATGTGATCTGTTATAAGCTTTAAGCTATTTAGGATAAACAATTTTAGTTTAATATTATAATTTGTAATCCTTCTAGGAAGAATATGTAATTTACATTTATGTGATATTTTTTTACAGTGGTTACGAAGTTGGTCAAATTGACCGAATTAGGGTAGAGAAAATAACAGAAAACTTATAAAGTTTTACTGAAAAAGTTTGATAACGATTTATAAGGTTTTAGAGTTTATGCAAATGGAACTTCACAATTTTTAGATATTTTAAATCTTAACGTGAAAATCACTTTACACTTAAAACAGTCAACACTCTCAACACCTTGATTTCACAGATACATTTTTAGCAAAAATACTAAGTTAAAAAAATATGATTTTTTTGTGTACAAAGGACTTGTAAATGCTTGCTGAAAGCTTGCTATATTTTGTGTGAAGATACACAAAATGTATGAAATGTTATAGTATGGAAACTGGTGGTTACTTTGGAGTCACAAACTCGGTTGTATCAACTGAGACCATAGTGATGAGAGTCAACAAAGGTTAATAAAAAAAGTGTTTATAAGTTTAGTGTGTTAAAAAATTATTTTTGTTGTTAGCCAGTGATAGTAAACATAGTGAAACTGTGTACATTGTTTTTAAATCAAAAATTAAATTTACAGTTTTATAGAATAAATAGTAACTTTATAGGGATGTTTTAAAAGAAGGTAGGTAAGTTAAAAATTATTAATTAAGATCTACACTAAAGGCAAGTATTTTTAATTGTTTAGGAAGTGAACATATTACACTTTTGAAATTTTAAAGCTGCAAATTCATACAAGTAAAATATTTTATTTGTAGAAGCTGTGTAATCTGTCATACATAAATTTGAAATTTCCAACTATTCCATCCAGTAGTTTTTGGTTTTTCTTACAATGCAATAACACCAAACATACAATATATATGCATCATATTGCCACACCTGAGTCTCATGGATGTAATGTTGGAATGAAGATTAGTTTTATTTAATAAGTCTGTAGAAAATTTTTATAACCATTTAAAAAAACAAATTGTATAAAGTTGTTTCAGGACATTTCTGTTAATTATACAGAAGTAGATTATCTGATGAGTGGATAATTTATTTGTGTTTAATATACTTTTTTATATTACAGTGTAATTATAAGTTATTTTTGTGGTTTCCAGGTACGACATGTCATCCAGAATGGGCTTTTACATTTATATATCTTTTCGTCTAAAGACATCAAAAAGGATCAAGAAATCACCATTCCATTTGATTTTGATTATCAAGAGAAGTGAGTATTGTATATAATATGGAAAAGCAAGCGGTTTCTGTGAAATTGTTCCTAAAAGTATTTAGTTTTTTGCACTCTGACTCTGTATAGTTCTCTTGCAAGGTGATTTTTATATGAAGTATTATTTCTAATCTTACAGTTTTCACATTTCATTTGCATAATCTCTAGAACCTAATAAATGAATATGAAAAGTTTTTTCAATTAAGTTAAATGTTTATATTTTTTCCATTTTCTCTACTGTATGACTAACTATCTATTATCTTTAACATGCAATGAAATGTGTAATATTAACAAACGGAAATACATACATACCTTTCAACTCTTCATAGAAATCCACTAGAATATTCGCATTTTTCTTATGTGCGTAATTTCACGTCTTTATCTTTTCACTTATAGTTCATTTTTAATTTTCCTTTCAAATTCTTTGTATATTATCATTTACGCCAATTTTATCGATGAGGCTTTATGAAGTTATTTTGTCACTCTCCCCCATGAGATGTTCTGCCAAGACAAGATTGTGCTTATACACGCCATCTTGTTTATAACTTTTCATAATCCAGGCAACAAGATAAACTTATAGAAATCATTAAACCTTTCAGATATGTTTTATAAAACACACTTAATATATAATTAGCTAAAATATAAAAGACCTAAGTACAATTTAATTGTCTCTCTAACTGTAGCATATTTAGGTAACAAACCACTGTAAGTGCTATAGTTAATCAAGCAGACAACAATACTAACGGTAGTTACATCTACTTCAATATGAAAATTGTACACCAATTCAAATTAATCATTGGTGGAGTATAGTGTAAACTGAGCTCTTTCTAATGACTATATACACTTATATCAACTAACTACATGTACATTATAGATCTCAAGGCACCTGTCAAGTATTGGAAAATTTATAGCTGTTTTTCAGACTTCAGATATCACGTGTCAACCACATGTACTTAGCATCTACATACTCGTGTACATTGCCAGTTTACGTGGTTAAGAGTGAACCAATGCTAAAGTTGAACCAACATGTACTTAGCATCTACATACTCGTGTACATTGCCAGTTTACATGGTTAAGAGTGAACCAATGCTAAAGTTGAACCAACATGTACTTAGCATCTACATACTCGTGTACATTGCCAGTTTACGTGGTTAAGAGTGAACCAATGCTAAAGTTCAACCATATGTACTTAGCATCTACATACTTGTGTACATTACCAGTTTACGTGGTTAACAGTGAACCAATGCTAAAGTTGAACCAACATGTACTTAACATCTACATACTCATGTACATTGCCAGTTTACGTGGTTAAGAGTGAACCAATGCTAGTCTTGAACCAACATGTACTTAGCATCTACCTACTCGTGTACATTGCCAGTTTACGTGGTTAAGAGTGAACCAATGCTAAAGTTGAACCATATGTACTTAGCATCTACATA